CCTTCTCAAGAAGTGTTGCTGAAAACGAGTGGATCACTGACTTGTCCAAAACGTGACCCCCAACTCTGTATATTTCTTGGTTCGCCAAGAACAGCAAGGACACCGCGTAAGGCGAAGCCATGCCCGGCAAAGAGATCTTAATCTCGCCCTCGGCATTGTCCGTCTCTTGCTTAAGAACTGTTTCTTCCCATCCCTTGGAGCAGAAGTAAAGTCATATCAGCGTGACACCAACAAAACTTAACCAATGTACCTTTGGAAAACTCGTAGCAAAGAGACCATCGTCCATGCCAAGATCCTTGAGGAAAATCTTTACCAGGACGCCAGTGCTCCAGGACACCCAGAGGTTGTGTGCTATGTCCCACTGACTGCGAAGAGAACCCTGCAAAGTCTGTAATCTCGAAGAAATCCCATCTGTGGCTCTTCTTCTGCTGCTACGAAATTCCGGAAGATCACTCTCCTTCGAGAACATTTCGGACGATCTCTTGTGATGTGTTATCCACTGCTCTGGAGACCCGAAGATCACTGGCAGGTAGTGTAGGTGCGTTCCCAGGGCCAGCGAGAGCCTTCCCAGGAACAGAGCTCGTTCCAAAGTTACGAGGCTATCCAGTCCATTCGCCGTTCCCAGATCTTTAAAGCTGAGCGTGAGTTTCTTCAACTCCACCTCGAGCTCGCTACAGATGCGCGACATGCACGAAAGAACTTTCTCGTGAAGATATGGTGCGAGCTCCAGGATCCTCGTCGGACTTTGTGGCTCGCCAAGAAACATGAGAAGATCGAGCAGGATGGCATTCAGCCCGTCGTCCACCTCTTCCTTCAAACGACAAACGTCCGGACCGAAGTACAAGCTGATCTCTCCAAGCCATTCCCTGCTCGTAGGCCCTTTCGTTTGAGGCTGTCCAATATCGTCTACCAAACTTCGTAGTAAACCTGTATTCGGCTGTTGCAAGCAGGAGGAAGCGTCGATCGAGCTGAGAAGCCTCTCCACGACAGCCATGATCGTTATCTTCTCGATCCGCGAGTCTACAATGGCTTTTATCCTCCTCAAGAACATGCTCTCAAAGAGCGTCTCCCACAAGTTGACGGAGCTGTTCAACAGCAGTGCGCTCAAGAATTCCCAGGGCGAGCTAATCGTCTGGCCAAAGGCGCTCTTGAGCCACTCCACGCCCTCTCGAAGAGCAGCCTGCTGCTCTATATGGAGCCTGATCGAGCTCTCCATCTCCGCGAGATCTTTCCCGTTGGAGACACCGTCGAGCACCGGCCGAGCGTCGTCCAAGAGCTCTTGCGCGCACACGCCAAGGAAGGAGAGGCTGCCTTGAGCCACAAACTCCCCGGACAGCGGAACCATGCGCGCCTCCAGCTTCTCCCTGTGGAGCTTCCAGGCACGAACTTCCTTCTCCGGATTGTAAATCCCTCCAAAGAGCTGGGACGACGGCGGTGCAGTGAGGATGGTGGTGAAGAGCAGCGGCGACGTTCCATTCGAGACTTCCAGGAAAAGTTGGCCAATGTGGCAGAGCGTCAGCTGGATCATGTCCACCGTTTTGTTGAGTACCAAAACTCTGTCCTGTAGAGACGAAGAGCTCGTGATCACCACCTTGGTTCTCAAGTAGCTTCTCAGCCACGACTTCCTCGTCTCGACGAACAAGGAGAAAACCTGTGCCGACGAGAGATCTTCCACGATCGCAATGGCCGCCAGCGCCACAGCGTAGTCGCTAGCTGCAAATCCGGGTTCCTGCAAGCGCTCTCGGCTCCTGGCCGAGATCTGTCCCTGGAATGTCTCTATCACTGGCCACTGGTGGTGCCACAGCAGCGAGAAATTCGTGGCGGCGCTGGAATCGCCACCACCTCCGCCGCCGCCGCTGCTGAGGAGCAATCCATGGACCTGGCGAGCTCGCAAGAATCTTTCGGCGCCTTCCAGATACATGTGTTCGTCGAGGCAGCCCCAGATCTTCTCTGGAGTGTCCACCAGATACTTCACGCGACTGCCAACCCCGTAGAGATCCTCGCGGCTGCTGCCACTGCTGGAGATCGAGGCCACTGCCACCGCCGCCAAGGAGGAGGAGGAGGAAGAGATCTTGATGCTCTCCTTGAGGCGATCCAATCCCTGCGCCATACCTGAGAGATTTTCCATGACGCGGTGGCAGCAGTCCCCCATGACGAGGATGGAATCGGCGGAATCGATGAGATCCCGGTAGCTGGCCCCGACCAGCTGCCGCAGCTCCTCCTGCTTGTCCTGGATCTCCTTGCGCGTCGCGGATTCCACCTCCCGGACCTCCGCCACGGATCGCGACTCGAGGAGAGCCTCCGCATTCCTGGCATTGCCGTCGCCCCCGCCTCCTCGCTCGAATCTGCCGCCCCTCATCGCGATCTCTGGCCCTATCCCATTCTACCTATTTTGTTGGAACCCTAAAATATCTGGTACGCTTGAAAATCTGGTCAAGCGGAGGGATTGCTTGATTGATAGTGAGTGATTTGCAGAGGAATGAGCTCTCGAGCAGAGATTCACATCGATTCGGCTCCAATCACGCCATCACGGAGAAGCTATGATAAAGGGGGAAAAAGCGCAAGCCTTCGATTGCGATGTCTTCCCCGTGAATGACAATGCAAGGCTCTCGATTCGTCTTGCACAGCTCCATTTCGATCGAAGACAAATTGCGATCGCGCACCATTCACATCAAACTTCGCTGAAGAGCGGACACGATCTGGCAAGTGTTTAAGGGTTTATCTGAAAATGGGGCATTTCAAAAGCGAAGAACCCTAAAGTCTATCAATCATTTTGAGAAAGAGGACCGTTTGAGAGAAACGGGGAGAAAGGGCGAACAATGGCGAGCCACAGCGGCGGGGTCGGCAGTGGCGGCGGCGGCAGTGCTAGCGGCTATGAGAGCCCGATGGTGAGGCAGGAGCTCGCGAAGCTGGACAAGGGCGGCGAGAAGCGGCGCAGCGCCCTGGCGTCGCTGCGCGCCTGCGTGGAGAAGCTCGACGCCTCGAGCGTGCCCCGGTTCTTGTCCCAGGTCGGCGACGCTCGTGATCTCTCCGTGTCGCGCCCCCACGCCATCTCGCTCTACACGGACGTGGCGCGCGTCCATGGCCGGCTCATCGCGCCCGAGATCCCCCGCATTATGATCACCATCACGCGCACGCTCTCCTCCAGCGGCAGCTCCATCCATCTCCACGAATCTTGCGCCCGGGTCGTGGCGGCGCTGCTCAGGTACGCAATCTCGCCGCTCAGCGCCATGGCCGACGCCGACAAGGTCTTCCCCGACGTTTGCAACCCTCTCATCGACGTTCTCTCGGCCAAGATCGAGCCGCTGGCCGCGGGCGCGGCGATTTGCCTCCAGGCTGCGGTGGAATCCGAGAAGTGGAAGTACGCGCCCCGGGATTTGGTCGCGGATTTGTGCGCCAGGGCGAGCGCGGTGCTGAGGGATCGTTCCGGGCAGACAGTGGGGCACATCCAGCTCGCTCGATCGCTGGTGCGTGTCGGTGCCGTGGCGCCGGATTGTGGAGTGGCGCTTCTGCGCGCTTCCACCGAGATTCTCCGCGGCAATCCACCGGCGTGGCAGCAGAAAGCCTCGGCGCTCCAGCTCGTGAGGGCGCTGCTGCTGGGCCTGGACAAGAAATCCCTGGCCGAGGAGTCGGAGTCGATTGGGAAGATCATCGAGCACATCAGGCGAGACCGGATGCCTCACGTACGCAGCGAGGCCGTCAAGGCGCTCCAGGCGCTCAAGGCCCAGCAAGTCTCTTTCTCTTCGGACGACGCAAATGGCAACTCGATCCACTTGGCGGAGGCCGGGATGGATTCTTTGAGTCGCTCGAGCTCGAGATCTTCCAGGAGTTTCTTGTGGGAGCAGCACCGGGAGGAGCTGTGCTCCGCGGCGGCGTCGACGTCGCAGGAGTCGCAACTTGTGAGCCTCTCGCCACCCCCGACGTCACCCGAGTCGTCCTCGCCGGTCTCGAGGAGCCGGCGACGCCGGCGGTACCCGCTGCTTCCTCCAGCGCAGCGGACGGGCTCCTCAGGGTCTTCGAGCATTGCCACTAGTGAAGACGCCTCGGATTCCTTTGCGACTTTCGAAGCTCCCGGCTTGGAATCCAAGGAGAACGGGCAGATGGAAGAGGGGTTGCAGCTGGACGATCAGTGTGCTGCTAGCAGCGAGAGCTGCGTGATTGACGACTCCGAGGAGGTGGTGGTGGGGAACTTTTTTGGAGAAGTTGACGTTACCGCGACCGCAAGGAGCACGAATGGGCGGTATGCTCTCGTTGATCAGAGCCCGGCTAGCACGGTTACTACTGCCAATGGAGACGATGTTGCGAAGTTCTCCAACAATGTCGCAGCGACACCCGAGGTAAGCTTTCGTGTTGGTTTCCACTGTTTCATAACATCTTTTCTCGTTTTGTTTTCTTGTTTTGCAGCGAAGCGCATCGATTCTTACTGCTGAAGACTTCACAAAGTACACAACGCCGAGGAGGCTCGTGCGGTCGCTACAGGCACTTGAATCCAGTCCAGACAGTGATCCCGACGAGAAGCTGGACGACTCAGTGTTAATCGACGGGGAGGCCGAAGAAGAAGAAGAATCCAGCGAAGCGGCTTGGAGTGTCCGGGACAATCCCATCGCCGAGCAGGACTTATTCGACGATCGCCACCGCTTCCATCTTCAACAGCCGCAGAAGCATGGTGAGTGTGATGATCCACTGTTCCGGGACGAAGAAGATCAAACCGAGAACACACCGCTATCACCACCACAATCGTCGACGAAAGCGATCAAGCCAGTTGTGACGAAGAGCAAGAAGAAGAGGACATGGAAGATCGCTCGAGGATGGATTGAATGGCTACTGGGTGGACTGTTAGTTGTGGTGCTACTACTTCCTCTGGCTATGGTGGTGTTAATGCTGGGGTTTAGCACCCAGGATGTTGGCTTGGTTCCAACTTAGAGAACTTAAGTTAATTTGACAATAGGCAGTACAAAGATTCGATCCCTGGACGTAAGGAATTAATATTTCCCCCCGAGCTGTCGCGACGAGCTCGTCCTAGGTTTTCCTTCCGGTTCCCGCCGGCTATGGCCGAGCGCGAGTGGCTGCGCCAGATGGTGGAACTCATGCTAGGCAAGCTCAAGGGAGGCGCGCGAGTGGATCGTCGTGAGTTTTATCGGATGTGCGTCGTTCTTTCCAAGTAAGTGAGAAAGTTTTTTTTGGAGCTGCGAAATTGAGAGGTTTTGGAGCTGCAGGGCTATGGATTGCGCAATCGCTGCAAATCAGAGCCCGCATTGTGTCCACGATGTGATCCAGCTGCTCAAGCAGGTTCGATTTTGTTTCGTTGGCTATGCAATGTGAGCAAATGTTTTCTTTTTTTTTTTTTCTTCCGATAGGTGTGTACACAGAAAGACGATGCCGACGTTCGTCCTGCGATCGTGTTGGTGATGCTATCTTTCAAGGTGCTCGAATTAAATATCTATTTTTCGGGGAATGCTAACTTTCCAAGTTACTTTTCAGGGTGCTGTTCAAAAAGGATGGTTTAACAATGTGGATTATGGAGATCTTCTCTGTGTTGTCAACGAAGTAAGTACATTCCTTTTAGGTGCCAGGCTCTCACCCGCTTTGGTTTATGCAGCTTCTCGACCTGTATGATAGACTTGGGTCTGCATGCGTGAAAACGCCAACGGATTTCTCGAGCATTGAGAAATTCACGGGTGACGTCCTTATGCGGTATGACTATCGTATTGCCCAAATAGTTGCGTTTCCTGACGGTATTGGAATGTTCTAGCTTGTATCCGTGGCTGAAACTGGGTAACATTTTGCTATACATCGAGGCAGAGGTCAGTGATTCTTGTTATACAGACAGAGACTAAACTTTGGTGAGGTTTTAGGCTGGCTACAGGACCGTGGTTTCCGAATTTTACATCCATACTCTTGCGCCAGTGGTATGTTTTAAAAGTTTATGGTGTTTGTAACGATCATTTCTAGAAGCTTTTTACTATCAGAAGGGACGCCGTCGAACAACCGTCGTGCTTGACTCCGCCAGCTCTAGTGAGCTTCATCCTAAACGGATATCCTGTCGATAGAAGAACACCACTTCAAATGGTATGTACGATAGTGTTGTACCTGAGTCTCAAGTTCCCGTACAGGATAGTGGACCCCAACCCCCGGCAGAGTGCGCAAGATATTGCAGGTTAGGAAATAATGTATTGCAAGTTGTGGGAGACTTTGCAGGTTTGTAAATGGGGCTGCTCAAGCTTGCTTACTCCATTGTTATTCCAGCTTCATATGTAATTCTGGTGGCTCATACGAAGAATGCAATCTTGGTTCCAACTTTGCTGGACCTTCCGGAAACCTGGCTCTTTGGCTCGCAGGCAGGCAAGTGACTTTTGTTTCTGATAGACAGGACAGCTGAATTGGCTTGGCAATATTGCAGATGACGATCTGATGGAAGGGGCGTCTAAAGTCTCACTAAGTTGTCCCATCAGGTAGATTTTTGTAGGCATTTCGCAAAATTGTACTGAGAACGTTTTCATGGATAGCCGGCAACGAATTGCAACTCCCGTGAAGGGTCTGGCATGCAAACACTTGCAGGTAAGGAAGTTATGATTTATTGAGCTTTTTCAAGGCAGTTGGCGGCTGTATAGTGCTTCGATTTCAAGAACTACACAGAAATGAACACAAAACGACCGTCGTGGCGATGTCCATACTGCAACGTGGTTGTGACTTTGCAAGACCTTCGTATCGACATGAAAATGGCAAAGGTAGTTCGCTGTTCGTTTTCTGTCTTTGAACTGATTTGGTTGCTTGCAAGATATTGCGTGAGGTCGACGGGAACATCAAAGACGTGATGCTCACCAACAATGGCTCGTGGCAAATGCTGGAGTCACATCCTATAAGCTCCCGGACGAAGAAAACCGTTCCAGTGATCGTCGACCTTAGCGAGATCGACAATGAGGATGCGCCATCACTTTCTCCTTCTCGTCCGCCGGAGTCTACTACCACTCCTGTGCTCCGAAGTTCCTCAATATTTTCAAGCTCGCCGGCTCTAACGGAGGACAGGAAGCCGGATATTGCCAGCCTATCAAGAACTTGGTCCGCAAATAACATGTCATCAATCGGTTTGGCACCTAGTCGATCGCTTCCTGCGAATCTTCTGCCATCAACGCCAAACGGTTCCGAGTTGCGACAACAACATCAGCGCAACACACCAACAACTCGACTCAGGCTCCACCGCTCGGTATTGTACTTAGAACTCTTCTGTGCTGGATTGAGTGACAACATGTTGCGGTGCAGGATACGGAAAGGCTGATGCAACAACTGGCTGCCGTGCAAGCCCAGCACGCTCTTCAAGCTCAAGCTGCGCAGCAATCTCCACAGGCTCAAGTCCAGATGCAACAACAGATTCAGCAGCATGCTCAGCTACGGCAAGCTCACCCAGTGCAAGTTCAGTCTTTACTGCAGCAAACTCAGCAAAGTCAGGCCATTCGCGCTCAAGCTCAAGCTCAACAGCCTCAAGCACAGCAACAGGCTCAGCTATGGCAGACACATCCACAACATCATCAGGCTAGCTTCTCTCGACGACAAGCTCAGCAGCAGCAAGCTCAGATACTTTATGCTCAACATACTCTTCACTCTCAACGTGCTCCTGCCCAGCAATCTCAGCAAGCTGCGCCACAGCAAGCCGCTCAGCAACAATCTCCGCAGTTCCAGCTCCAGCCGAGGCAAATTCATCCGTGGCTTGTGATTCCAGGCTCTAGCAATGATCCGCCACAGTAGGCTCTGTTGACATAGAACACTGTCTTTCCAGAGGATTTTCTTAAAGGTTGAAGGAACGAGTGAAAAATCCCTTTTGGCTTAACGTAAGAATGCATGGAATTGGAATGATGGATCGAATAGAATAAAAGCTGCTTCTATAAAGCGCTCTGGTGAGTCAACATTCTAGTCAAAATGGTTGACTGGCAAGACCGCGCGGTGGTAACTGGCGAGTGTAAAAATCTCCAGTGGATGCCGTCATGTCATGGACTGGTAGTGTCGTTAGCGCCACGTTGGCAGGGCTGCCCTAGAAGCATTATTTTTATTACTCGCTCGATGGATAGATAGCCTCTCTGTCGCTGTTCTTCCTCGCCTTCTCTTTTGGTTCTTTGCTGCTCCTCTCTCCCTCTCTCCAATCTCAAGATTCTCTGGAATGCCGCGCGATCGCTCATGAGCGATGGTGGCCGAATTGCTGCTGGCGCGGCAGCGATCGCCGTGGTGGCTGCCGCTGGCGGTGGCGCTGCTGGCGTTGGGATTCACATTGGGGCAGGGGCAGCAGGTTGGAGTGAACTGGGGCACGCAGCTCTCGCATCCTCTCCCCGGCGATACCGTCGTGCAGATGCTCCGGAGCAACAATGTCACGCGCGTCAAGCTCTTTGATGCGGATCCCAACGCATTGCGCGCCCTCACCAAGGATTCCAGCTTCGAGGTCATGGTGGGAATTCCCAATGAGATGCTCCAGCGCCTGGCGCAGAGCTCCCAGGCCGCGGATCTGTGGGTGTCGCAGAACGTGTCGCGCTACGTGTCGGGGCGACGGCGAGCAAACATCAGGTATCTTGATCGACCTCTCCTCTTTCTTGGTGTTCTTGTTCTTGATTCTTGGTCCCCGGTCGATATTCTTGGTCTCTAGCATCGATTTCCTCGCGGTAATTTGGGACTGTATCGATATTTCTCCCATTCCTTGTGATTCTTGCGAGCATCGATATTCTTGGCGGATTCGTCGATATTCTCTCGACAGATCGATTCCTGACAAGTTCTTCGGTCTCGATATTTCTGGATGATCTTGCCTGTGGTTCGACATAGCTTGTCTTGGAGAGCATTGGAGCATTGATGAGTCGCCTGGATCGACGCTAGAGTTTTCCTGTTCTTCCTGTTCTTGTTCTTGGCTGGGTCTAGTTTTTTCTAATTGCTGACGACGATATGGATCGATGACAATGGCAGATACGTGGCAGTGGGCAACGAGCCCTTCCTCACCGCCTACAATCGAAGCTTCGAGGGCGTGACGCTCCCGGCGCTTCGAAACATCCAGGGCGCGCTGGCGCGAGCGGGGCTCGACTCCCAGATCAAGGCCACGGTCCCACTCAACGCCGACGTGCTGGCCAACTCGCGGCCCCCATTCCCCTCGGGCGGGATCTTCCGGCCCGAGAGCCAGGCCCTGGTGGTGAGCATCGTCCAGTTTCTGAGCCAGACGGGCGCGCCCTTCGTCATCAACATCTACCCCTTCATCAGCCTCCACGGGGACCCAAACTTCCCGATCAACTTCGCCTTCTTCGAGGGCGCCGCCAACTCGATCGTGGACGGCTCCAACACCTACACGAACGTCTTCGATGCGAGCTATGACCTCCTCGTCGCCGCGCTCAACGCCGCGGGCTACACCAACATGGCCATCATCGTTGGCGAGGTCGGGTGGCCGACCGACGGCGACCCCAACGCCAACGTCGAGAACGCGCGGCGGTTCAACCAGGGGCTGCTCCAGCACGTCCTCTCCAACCGCGGCACGCCGCTGCGCCCCGGATCGCCCATCCACTTCTACCTCTTCGGCCTCATCGACGAGGACCAGAAGAGCATCGCGCCGGGCAACTTCGAGCGGCACTGGGGGGTGTTCACGTACGATGGGCAGGCAAAGTATTTCCTGGATATGAGCGGGCGGGGGGTCGCCAACGCGAGGCTGGTGAACGCGCAGGGGGTGCAGTACTTGCCGCGGCGGTGGTGCGTTCTTCGGCCCGGGGTGGCGGTGTCCGCCAACAGCATCTCGTTTGCGTGCGCGAACGCCGACTGCACGGCCCTCTCGTATGGTGGCTCGTGCAACTTCCTCACCGCGCAGGAGAACGCCTCGTACGCGTACAACAACTACTACCAGAAGACCAACCAGCTGCCGACGAGCTGCGATTTCCAGGGGCAGGCCGTGGTCACCACCACTGACCCCAGCATTCAACCGTGTAGATTCATTAGGCAGATTATTCCGCCCGACGACTCGGCCGCCACCATCGCCACCACCGCGAGAATCTCTTTGCTGCCGCTACTACTGCTACTGCTGCTCGCGATCTTGGCTGTCTAGAAAGCGATGTCTAGGAGAGAGGTGTTAACTTATCTGTCTCTTTGTCTCTCTCTCTCTCTATCTTTCGTGCCTGGCTGGATCGATACAACGAATTAGGTACACGAGAACGCGAGGACGAGAGAACGATAGAGAAAAAAAGAAGCGTTTGGTTTGGTTTTCTATATGTAACAACTTAAAAAAACTTAGCTCGCTTCACGTACGATCACGTTGTCTTCGTTTTGTTCTCCTCAGTCGTTGAGGCGTCGTCGTCGTCATCGTCACTACTGCTGCTGCTGCTATTGGCACCGGATTTGCTCGTCTCTTGCCTGGAGTTATGATGTCTCTGGCGTAAGTCCTCATTATGGTGCTGCTGCTCTGGAATCGAAGTCGCAGGAGCATCTCCATCGATTGCTTCTGCTGCCTCAGGAGTAGTAGTAGTAGTAGCGGTCACTTCACTCGCGTCCTCTCCACCGAAACCAAACTCGTTGATTCGCTTGCGGTCCACGGGATATATCCAACGTTGATACAGATAAATCAAGAAAATGATGTCTGCGCAAGTAGCAGCAGATTGTGAGTCCTCTGCCTGACTTTGTGAGTGACACGAGGGGGACGGACCGGGACTCGGGAAGAGGTAAAATGGAAAGAAAAGAAGAAAAGTATGTGGTGAGAGAACGTACCGTCACGGAAGACTGACAACCGATGCAGTATAGGCATCTTGATCACGAAAGCGAACAAATCATCGATAATTGTGTTGAGGAACTTGTAAGTCATTTGGCGCCAGGGGAGGTGAGCCACGGACTTGAGCTTGTAGTTGATGAAGAGCTGGGGGCACATCATGATGAAACCTTTTCACACAACACACACACATGATCTTACAGACAAGGAAAAGCGGTGACAGTGGACTCACCAAAAGTGTAGACACAGCTCGTAAGCGATGACAGGATCCATGAGTACCAGCTCTTGTGACGGTCATAAATAAGGGAATATATCGCGAAGCCCAACACAACCGGATAGAGGACGTAAGATAGGTAGCGCATCGCCAGGTCGTCATATTCCTTCGTCTTGTTCTTGGCATACGAGTCTCGGTCTCTAAATCGCAGCAGCGGGAACCGTCCACTCCGGTCCACCTGGGTTTTGCAGATTCACTGTGATTACTCACGAGCATACAGGAGAAAGAACTCATACCTCGATATGCATCGCTTTACCAATCTTCCAGAATTCAATGCAGCAGCCAACGCCTGAGCTGAGAATAATCATCCACGATGTCTCGTTGTCCAACAAGTAGAGGAAAACGACAAGCTGACAGAAAAAGTTGACAACAACTGATCGAGCTGACAATCCCTCCATCGACTTGTTTTTGTTCCAAAACTGGATATCTACATCGTAGTCATGAGTTAAGAAACAGTGCCACAAAGACAATAAACTTACCATTCTTGAAAGCGAGGAAGTCGAAAACAGTGTGAAGAAGGGAGACAGTCATCGTGATTGCCAACAAAATGGGATTGCCCTCTAGGAAAACTCTCTGCACGGTTTCAAAGTCAAACTCTGGAATTTAGTGTAAAGTAGACCATAGTACCTTGAGTTCGTCGGCTTCACCTTCGAGCATGCTCCCATATGAGCGATGTATCTGAAAGGACTGGTCAATCTGTAAGTAAAGCTGCCACCGAGTGAGACTGATCGGAGAAAGATCCAGATTCAGTGTCAATTCTGTCGCCGTCTCATTGATGCGTATCAGCTTGTCGCGCAGTAGCCAAAACTCGTTGAAGAAAACGGTAGGATAATAGTTTCCTGATGTCTCTTCAAAGTTTAAGTCTGCAAAAATGTCAAGGATAACCAAGGATGCGCAATAACAGGCCAAGGAAGGATACACTCTGCTACGGTAGGTGGAAGAGCATTCCTAGAGTACCTGCAATCGACCCAAACATCAATTGAAATGAAAGAATCACTAGCTTTACATACTTTGTAAAGTCGTCCACCAGATTCATAGTCACATTCGGTTTCCAGAAAGAGACCCACTCGGTGATTCCTTCGTCTTCTACGACTTCTGGGAGCACCTAAGATTGAAACATAGCGTTTCATGAGCTCGGAACTCAAAGAGAAACCCAATGCACAAACCTCCGGCGCTTCATCTTTGGCCTCCAACAGACTTTTCCGTTTGTCTGTCTTTGGTTTTGGAAGATAGCTGATCAAAGCTATGAAATAGAAGGTTAGAAGGAAAAGAATGGTATCTAGCATCACTAAACTTACAAACTGTTCTGCTAAACGATGAGAAATGGTCGTAGTCTGGGTCACTGGGGTTCGGTGAGAAGCCGGATCGTGTAAAGAATACATGCCCATAAACGGTGCCATTGTGCTTCATCACAGCCTAGAAAACAAAAAAAAAAAAAAACTTAGCAGCGGCGATCATGGCTCGGTAAGTACCTCGGAGGGAGAATAAGTAAGAACATGGTGGCGAGAGCTATCGGGCGTCCACACAGCATATGGTACGTTGGTTTCGTGCCACACGAGCGCTTGTTCGTTGCCAAAATCTGCGAACTTACGATCCTCTGATAGATAGAACCACATATCCTTAAAAAACAAAGGATCAGTCGATAGACAGTGAAGTTCGATTGGAATTCAGTGAAAATCTTACCAGTTTCTCGCCCTTGGAGAAGAGATTGATCGACGACATCGCAGGATCAACTGGTTGCTTCTTGAATCCAAACATCTGAGATGCCAGGTACCAGAACAAGGCCATTCGGATCATCCCCATCAGGATCTGGCCAATGCCTTGCTGCTGCGGCTGCTGCTGCTGTGCATTCCGCTGCGCGGGAGCTGGCGCCGCGACGATGGGCGCTGGATTCGCCAT